CGGGCGGTGCTCGGGGGCCGCGCTCACGCACATTCCAGAAGCCACGCCTCACACGAACATCCCTATCCCCGCGCACGCGCCCCTTCCCGCCCCGCCCTCCCGGCCGCACGCGCGCTGCTCCTCGGGGCCGTTCTCCAGGTCTGGGCCTGGACTCTGGCTCCTGGGCCCCGTGGTGCTGCTCTCTAAAGTGAAAGTGAAATGAGGAAAGGCGGCCAAGGGGTCTGTCGGAGAAGGGTAATTAGCATCTGTGTCAAGGTTTACACGACGGCTCCACCACCGTCAGGCCTGCTCAACCGACTGGAGGGAAGCTACGGAGACTGACGTTGAGGAGGAAGAGGATATCCCTCCTGATTCTTCAGAGATGGGATGGAGAACTCGTTCCATATCCTTGGGTGTTCTCTAGTGAGAGGACCTAAAACTGCTGGATTTCTCACTTGGTTTTCAGTTGTGGTCAGAACACTTGATATATCCTTTCCCCGTCTGAGGGGAAAAACCCAACATTCTCGCCTGCACACATTGTCAGACTGATGAGGCCACAACTGACATACACGCTTGAAGGAGAAAGTGCTCTATTGTGCCTTGTTTTCTCTTTTGAATTACATCCTCCTGAGACTGTGGCTGACCCCTTAGGCCCATGGCGGTCCTGAGTGTGATTGACATGCGTGATTAGCAGGCTAGTGAGAGAGAACCAGGGAAATTGCTGTCAAAACAATTACATACAGGGACATCAGAACAATGGCTTGAGAGCCCCCAGGGGCTTAGAGACCATCCTAGTTCTGCCACGGGTGCCCTCTGGGACCTTGGCCAAGTCAGAGCATCTCTCTGTGCCTTCGTTTCTTTCTGGTAAGTTAAACTATTCTTACCACTCTTAATCTCAAATGTATCATGAAAATAAACTTAGATAACCAAGGTGAAAACATCGAAGGTTTTGTTTTCGTGGGTTAGGTGATGGTGCTTTAAAGACTCTGAACAGAAGAGTCTGTAAAAGGAAGCCATTTGATCTTCAACCTACAACCTGGTCATTTAAGTTAAACTTAATACACATGTATTGACACTAACTCTGTAGATGCAGAATTCTAAGCTTGGTACTGTATGGTCTTCATAAGAGTGATGTATATCTGTTGAAAAAATCCATGCATAAGTGGACCTGTGGAGTTCCAACTAGTATTGCTCAAGGGTCAACTGTATTACCTGGTAAATCCACTAACTCCTGTGTTCTCAGACCTTATCTCATGCCTGGGTCAGTTCCCATCCCTAAGTCTTCATCATTTTCATTCTCTGACTATTTCTGCTCAGGGGCCACAACACATTGCTAGATATATACAGAATGGTGCTGTGGTTGGAGCTCCCAAGTGAGCCTAAGCTGTGGCTCGAGGTTCAGACATGTCTGGGTCTGTCTGTGGAACTGATGGGAAAGGTGCCAGAAGCCTGTTTACTGGAGTGACTGAGAAGCTTTCTGGGACAGAACATGTCCTCAGGGAAGGAGTCGAACACAGTGAGCTTGAGCCGGAAACAAAGACTTAAGTCTTGAGAAGGGAGAGGTCCTTTTGCACCCAGTCCTGTGTCTCCTGGCCCTTGTTTGAGTCCACTCAGAGTGGGGAAGGGATGGGGGAAGGAGGAGAAGATGGAGGCTATGGGTAAAAGTTGAAATGTCTGTTTCAGACTTTTCAAGTTCCACATTTAATGTGCATTACACATGTTCTCATGTTTACTAGAAAAGATCAAGTTAACAACAAAAGTGCAAACAACAGAAAACCAGAATAGAGGTGGCTTTTGAAAAATAAGGAATTTGTTATCCTGTCAAGTAAGAACTTTGGAGGAAGGTTGTTCTTTTACTGGTTAATCATCTAACTCCAGGATGTCACTGAGGACCCAAGTAGATATCTTCTTTCGGCTGTGGCATCCTCAGATGATGGTAATCTCTCCTGCCTTCTTTCCAGGCGGCACCATGGCTTCAGCATTTCTTGGTATCAAATGCAGTCAAAGGCATATAGCAAAGAAGGGGGATGTTGTCTCCCACTTCCTTCTGTCTCTGCCTCTGTCTTTATCATAATAAAGAAAGGGTAACCCTTTCTAGAGGGCTCTAGTAGAACTTCTAGTGTCCCACTGGGCAGACTTGTGTCACACACACATCCTAATTACTTGTAGAAAGATGCCAAACATAATCTACCCTGCATGCTAAGGAGAGAAATCACCTTCCATGAACATGCAGGAGGATATAATCCAAACAACATCAAATTCTGCCAGAAAAAAAATAGGGAAAAGTGGTTGTGGCTTAGGTCTCAAAAGATTTTTTCATTTTTCTTTTTCTCTACTGCAAAATGTTTCTGTATCTTCATCACTTCTAAATTTTTAAATCTTTCTCCATATTCTGTCTTTACTATCACAGCTGAGAAGTCATCCAGCTCCATTTGAGGACCTGGCCCTCCCTGTGTCTGCCTCCCTACAATTGAGCTCTTGTTCTAGACCCTCACAGGGGTTCCTGAACCACAGGCAGTCACCTGGAGGCTATGCCACCTAGCACTCCATTAGTGGGGTTAGAGGAGATCTGAAGCCCCTTTAGTTGTCTCAGGATCTGAAAGCTGCAAGAATTAATCCAAATCCTATCAGGTTGGGGTGGGGAGGTGGGGACCACAGACAAGCTTTATTCTTTCCTTACAGGGTTCTGTACCCGGGACTTTTCTGTCTAGCTCAGCAACATGTGAGTGCCATATGGTATCCTCAGCGACTTGGCTTCAGATTGCTTCCATTTTACCCTCTCCCTCCCCATTAATACCGATCTCCTGGAGGCGGGGTTCCACTGTATTTTTCCATGCCACAGCTTGCCGGAACTCTGATAATGGCTTGAACCTGAAACTTGTTCCATTTCTTTCCTATACTCATTTTCATTCATTTTTTTTTCATTTAATAAGTATTAAATGTTGACTCTCTTCCAAGTATTGAGTTATGTGCTCAGGAGACGTTGTGGATTAAGTCAGAGTTCCCTGCCTTCAATAAGTTTACATTCTGGTGAGGGAAATTTTTCTCTCCAGGAGGCTTGGCAGGAAATTCTAGGTTATCTCCCAGGGACCAGAATGGAAATAAATCTTAAAAGCAAGGCCGAGTCATTAACTCTGTGCAGTGTAACTCATGTTTTAATCCTTCACAGCTACCATTAGTAGTCTAATTTATTTTGATCTTTACACAGCTCGTAACATATGACATCTTTTCACAGAGGCCATTGTTTCAGGTGATTACAGTTTTCAACAATATAAACACCATGTAGGGCAAGACACTTGTGGTGCAGCAGGCTTTATTAATAACATGCCTTGTCAAATGAACAGACTAGGCTATAGATGGATGATTACAGCACAAATGGAGGCTGTATCTGATACAAGTTTATGTATTATCAGAGTTGTTACCCTATCTCTGCTCACAGTCAGGAGCCTGCCAGATCTTATTCAGCAGAGTGGTTTGTAGATGCATTATCAGAGATAAAAATATTTACCGTTACCTACCTTCCTTTGGCTTTGTTTGCCTGAGGATGTATAGTAAAATCAAATTTTAATTTTTTTAAATGTTTTCAAAATTTACCTAGGTTTATTATTCTCATTTCATTTACAGTAGAAAACGGGTTCTCCAAAAACATGCAGCACTATATTAAAATCAAAACTGCTTTTATATTTTCCACTAATAGCACTTCTGCTTCAGATGGTGTCATGGGCCCTCAGTGTCTAATTTATCTTGACAGTGTCTGAAGTGGAAGTAAACTAGTTCAGACTGCAGGTCCTAAAGTATGAGTCGGAGAAGGTGGATGGAGCACAAGTGAAATGAGAGCATTTAAATGAAATATGAACTCCAGTCAATCTAAATGAATTCCCTTAACACCTCAGTCCAGGAAAAAACCTGTAAGGGTTTTAATCCTCACTCAACTCGTGACAAAGTACATGACCCTTAGCAAGTCAGTTAATTAATCTCTGTGTCTTGGTGTCCCCATTTTCACAACAGGGTTAATAAGACCTGTAGTGCACCTGCACTTGGAGTTCAGAAGAAAAGCGAATTACATTCTTTCTGAAATGTAACTGATAATTATCAATCGTCAACAGGAATTTAGTGAGCCCTGCACCTACCTATCATGATACATCCAGGGCCTAGAAAGTACCTGACATGTAAATGCTAAAGAAATTTTTGTTGCATGAATGAATGAGAAAATGAATCAAGAGCCCCTCCACTGCATATTAGGTCCTTTGCTATGGAAGACTCAAGATGCTTCCTTGCCTTTAAAAGGAACTAACCGCATAATGAAATAAGACATACATACATAGAAGTGTACTTTAACAATTAAGATATGAAATGCCAAATGAATATTTTAGTCCATTATCTTCAAACTAGTATTTCCAGATTCTTAGCTTCATTATGAATTCACCAAGATTGACCTGCTTGAGAATATGCATATGGTTTTGTTACATAGAAGTATTAGAGGATGTTTAATAAAAGACTTTAAAATATAGAACTGTATTTCATTAGAATAATATTCTGTAAGGAAGTGGAATCGAAATGTAAGTTCAAGGGGGAAAAGAAAGACATAGCCCTCTTAAAGAAGAACTTGTTTATATTGCTTCTTTTCATATTTTTATTGAGGTACAACAGCCATATAGTAACATGTACAGGCCACCACCTAAATCAAGTTACAAGTGGTGCCCTCCCCACCGTGACCTTTCTCAGTTAATCTCCTCCTTCCCTGACTCCAGAGACAACCGTTATTTTGACTTCTTATGCTATAGAGTACTGTAGCCTGTTCTTGGAAGTTATGTCAGGAATTATATGGTATATTCCCCTTTGGGCCAGGCTTCTTTTGTTCAACATTTATGTCTGTATGACGCATTCATTGTTGCATACGTCAGAGTTCATTCTTTTTAATTGTTGCAAAATAGCTATTCTCAAAATGTGGTCTGAGAACTCCTGGAGGGGGTACCTGAGAATTTTTAGGGGGGACGTCTATGAGTCAAATTATTTTCATAATAATTTAGAGTTTTATTTATTTGCCTTTTTCAGTGCCTTGATGTTTTTATGATGGTGCAAAAGCAGTAATGTTTAGTTTATGTCTCTCTGAAATTTCTTTGCCTAATCTAAGGACACGAATATTTTCTGTGCTATTCCTTTCTATAAATTTTATAGTTTTAGGTTTTATATTTAGGACTATGATCCATTTCAAGTTACTTTTGGCATATGGTGTGACTTTAGGATTGATTAAAAATATGGATGCCCAGTGTCAAGTTGTTACAGTGCTACTTACCAGAAAGACTGCTCTTTCTCCCTTTTCTCCGTTGAATTAACTTGGCACTTTTCTCAAAACACTCCCCGACTCCCTGTGCATGCCCGCTCCCTCTCCCATTCTCTCTCTCCCCTCCCCCCTGTACACACACACACACACACACACACACAGTCTGTTTGGCTTTGTATTCAGTTTCATTGATCTGTATGTCCAAGCTTTCACTAATACTACAGTTTGGGGAGAATTGTTATGTTAACTATTTTGAATCCTCTCATCCAGGAACATGGTATATCTCTCTTTTATTTAGATATTCTTCGGTTTCTTTCAACTATGTTTTTGTAGTTTCCAATGTAAATATCTTTTGTTAGATCTATTATTTTATTTTTGGTGCTATTATACATGAAATGGCTTTTAAAATTTCATTTTCCAGTAGTTTCCAGTTAGCATATAAAATGTATGTTTAATGTTTACTTTTATTTACAGGTTCTCTTAACTGTTTTCTGGTTCTTCTGGGATTTTTTACATTAATAATTATATAATTTGCAAATAGGGAGAGTTTTACTGCTTCCTTTTTTATCTTAATGCTATT